CCGGGACCAGACAGAAACTGAGACCAGGACCAGGACCTGGACTGAGACCAAGACTGATACCAGGACTAGACCAGGACTGAAAACAGTTTGGTCCTGATTCAGTCCTAATTCAATACATATGCGACGCAAAAGTCCGGCATCAAAATTTAAATCACGTAAACGGGTCTGGTCCCGGTCTCAGTCCTGGTCCTGGTCTTAGGCCTGGTCTCAGTCCTGGTCCTGGTCTTAGGCCTGGTCTCAGGCCTGGTCCTGGTCTTAGGCCTGGTCTCAGTCCTGATCCTGGTCTTAGGCCTGGTCTCAGTCCTGGTCCTGGTCTTAGGCCTGGTCTCAGTCCTGGTCCCGGACTCAGTCCTGGTCTTAGGCCTGGTCTAAGTCTTGGTCTCTGGCCTGGTCTAGTTCTTGTCTGGTCCCAGACTTGGTTTAGTCCTGGTTCAGTCCTGGTTCAGTCCTGTTCAGTCCTGGTCTGGTCTCAGTTCCTGTCTGGTCCCAGACCTGTTTTAGTCCTGTTTTAGTCCTGGTTCAGGCCTCGGTTTAGTCCTTGGTTTAGGCCTCGGTTCAGTCCTGGTTCAGTCCTGGTTCAGTCCTGGTTTAGTCCTGGTTTAGTCCTGGTTTAGTCCTGGTTCAGTCCGGCATCTGTTTTTTTATTTTGTTTTTAGAGACAAATAAAGAAAATAGTTGTTTTTTTCATTTTCTTATTTTTGGTTTTATTTTGAAAAACAAACAAACTAATGACACACAGATTTTATTACCTCTTTACGGTTCTGTAATTACTTTATGATAAATGAGTTTACAAAACACATTTAGATCATCGTTTGAAATAAATAGTGTTTTTTTTCTCTTTGTTATTAGATTATATTGTGATGTCTGAGCTCCTGTGTCCAAACTAATTCCCCTCGTGGATCAATAATGTTTGTCTAAATAAACTTTATATATTTAAAAGTTGTAGTATCGAGATCGGTATCGAAACAGAAAAAGCTGGATCGCTCAGATCTCCTGTCGCTGGACAAGCCTCGTTTTGTTCATTGATTTGAAAGCTGCAGATTAGAAAAAAACTGGAGCAACAACTTTTATTATTTGTTCACTGATTCTCTGCTTCAACAACAACAACAACAATACTCCCAGTTCTGGTTGGTCGACTCTAAATGTCCATGAAAGACCTGGGATAGTCCTGATTAAACCCGGGTTTAGACCTGGTTTAGACCTGGTATAGTCCTTGGTTTAGTCCTGGTTTAGTCCTGGTTTAGACCTGGTTTAGACCTGGTTTAGTCCTGGTTTAGTCTTGGTTCAGTCCTGGTTTAGTCCTGGTTCAGTCCTGGTTCAGTCCTGGTTTAGGCTGCTTCAGTCCCCCTGATTTGGTTCTCGTTTCAGTCCTGGTTTAGTCCTGGGTTAGTCCTGGTTTAGACCTGGTTTAGACCTGGTTTAGTCCTGGTTTAGTCCTGGTTTAGACCTGGTTTAGTCCTGGTTTAGACCTGGTTTAGACCTGGTTTAGTCCTGGTTCAGTCCTGGTTCAGTCCCCTTGATTTGGTCCTCGTTTCAGTCCTTGGTTCAGTTCTTGTTTAGTCCTGGTTTAGTCCTCGTTTAGTCCTCGTTTAGACCTGGTTCAATGTAATAAAATCACTTTGAAATGACAGAAACAAGTAAAAAATAAATAACACAGTTTTCACATGACTACAAGGTTGAGGTTTTCCGAGCAGATTTCCGGCATAAAACGAGCATCCAATAGGAACTTTGTTTTCCTCCAAACTCTTGCACTCCGTCCGTTTTGATTGGCCCAAACTTTGCCAAAGAGTGTAGTGAGTCAAGATAGTCGATTTTGTTCGCGTTTATGTTCGCACCAATCGAAAAAGCCGCTGTAAGTGCAGATATTTCTCAAATAAATGTGAAATTGTGTGGAAAAAGGATATTTTTAGACTTAATATTTTGATATTTTTATAGCTAAGGCCCTAAATTAGGCATTTTTTATGTCCAAAAAGTTGTTTATACATGTTTACTGTGTGTTTTGGATGAAAGAATGTGAATTTTTCTTGTGTATTTCTGTTCCTGTAGCTTTTATTCCAGCCATATGACATAACTACAGCAGCAGATTGTGAAATAACAGGTTGTACTGAAAAAAAGGATGTAGAACACTTCAAAAAGCAAATTTAAGAAAAAAAATCCAGGTGATGACAAATGTAAAATTGCCCTTAGGTCTGGAAGAGTGAAGTCCTGAGTACAGCTCTCTACAAAATCCACAATTTTACGCACTAAATCCACAAGTAGTTGGATTAAGTAACATCAAAACAAAGTGTCTAATAAGATCTTTGTTTTCCTCCAAACTCTTGCACTCCGTCCATTTTGATTGGTCCAAACTTTGCCAAAGAGTGTAGTGAGTCAAGATAGTCGATTTGTTCGCATTTATGTTCATAACAAGTGAAAAAGCTGCTCTAAGTGCAGATATTTCTCAAATAAATGGCAAATTGTGTGGAAAAAGGATATTTTTAGACTTAATATTTTGATATATTTATAGCTAAGACCATAAATTAGGCATTTTTTACATCCAAAAAGTTGTTTATACATGTTTACTGTGTGTTTTGGATGAAAGAATGTGAATTTTATGTTGTTGTTTTTTTGTTGTTTTCATTTGTATTTCTGGTCCTGCATCTTTTATTCCAACCATATGACATAACTATAGCAGCAGATTGTGAAATAACAGGTTGCACTGAAAAAAAGGATGTAGAACACTAAATTATGGGAGTTTTAATAACAAAATAAAGAAAAACATGCACTAAAATTGCCCTTAGGTCTGGAAGAGTGAAGTCCTGAGTACAGCTCTCTACAAAATCCACAGTTTTACGCACTAACTCATGTCATAAATGAACCAAACCAAGATTTTAAACCATAAAGAAGATGAGAATATAAAATACAAAACAATCTGAGCTAAAACCAGAGGTAGAAAGCATAAAACAGCCTGACAACACCACAGAAATCAACTCGTAACAAAGTACGAACAAGTATTTCTCCTCAGAACCTGCAGGTCTTCGCCTAAATCCAAAAGTTGCTGGATTAAGTAACATCAAAACGAGCATCCAATAGGAACTTTGTTTTCTGCCAAACTCATGCGCTCCATCCATTTTGATTGGCCCAAACTTTGCCAAAGAGTGTAGAGAGTCAAGATAGTCGATTTTGTTCGCGTTTATGTTCGCACCAATCGAAAAAGCCGCTCTAAGTGCAGATATTTCTCAAATAAACAGCAAATTGCGTGGAAAAAGGATATTTTTAGACTTAATATTTTGATATTTTTATAGCTAAGGCCCTAAATTAGGCATTTTTTACATCCAAAAAGTTGTTAATACGTGTTTGCTGTGTGTTTTGGATGAAAGAGTATTAATTTTATATTCCTTTTTTTTCTGTTCCTGTAGCTTTTATTCAAGCCATATAACATAACTACAGCAGCAGATTGTGAAATAACAGGTTGTACTGAAAAAAAGGATGTAGAACACTTCAAAAAGCAAATTTAAGAAAAAAATCCAGGTGATGACAAAGGTAAAATTGCCCTTAGGTCTGGAAGAGTGAAGTCCTGAGTACAGCTCTCTACAAAATCCACAATTTTACGCACTAACTCATGTCATAAATGAACCAAACCAAGATTTTAAACCATAAAGAAGACAAGAATATAAAATACAAAACAATCTGAGCTAAAACCAGAGGTAGAAAGCATAAAACAGCCTGACAACACCACAGAAATCAACTCGTAACAAAGTACAAACAACTATTTCTCCCCAGAACCTGCAGGTCTTCGCCTAAATCCACAAGTTGTTGGATTAAGTAACATCAAAACAAAATGTCCAATAAGATCTTTGTTTTCCTCCAAACTCATGCGCTCCGTCCGTTTTGATTGGCCCAAACTTTGCCAAAGAGTGTAGTGAGTCAAGATAGTCGATTTTGTTTACGTTTATGTTCGCACCAATCGAAAAAGCCGCTCTAAGTGCAGATATTTCTCAAATAAATGTCAAATTGTGTGGAAAAAGGATATTTTTAGACTTAATATTTTGATATTTTTATAGCTAAGACCCTAAATTAAAATCCAAAAAGTTGTTTATACATGTTTACTGTGTGTTTTGGATGAAAAATGTGAATTTTTCATTAGTATTTCTGGTCCTGTAGCTTTTATTACAGCCATATGACATAACTACAGCAGCAGACTGAAATAACTGGTTGTAGTGAAAAAAAAGGATGTATAACACTAAATTATGGGAGTTTTAAAAACAAAATAAAGAAAAAACATGCACTAAAATTGCCCTTAGGTCTGAGTATCGACAGTTTTTCGCACTAACTCATGTTATACATGAACCAAACCAAGATTTTAAACCATAAAGAAGACAAGAATATAAAATACAAAACAATCTGAGCTAAAACCAGAGGTAGAAAGCGTAATACAGCCTGACAACACCACAGAAATCAACTCGTAACAAAGTACGAACAACTATTTCTCCTCAGAACCTGCAGGTCTTCGCCTAAATCCACAAGTTGCCGGATTAAGTAACATCTCCAAACGCGGCCCCGCTGGCCCATTGTAAACAAAGCCCCCCTACTGCGTTAAAGAGAACTCGTTTAACACGTTAGTGGCCCGGTCCGGAGCCCGTGACCACGCTGCGCTCCCTTCAGCCGCCGCGGTCCCTTTAAGAGCCAAGATGGTGCCCTCCGCGCTGCAGTTTATGCCTTCCGTTTCTGCCCTCTCTCTTTCTTTCTGTATCTCTCTGCTCGGCGAAAGGGGGGAAACGGCTCTCCTCCGTTCTGTCCTCCCCCCTCCCCGGTGAAACGGAGCGAAGCGTGCGCGGCGCAATGAGGTCACCGTTTCACCGGGACCCGAGCCTGTGCCAAAGAACGAACGCGCTGCTTTTTTTTTTCCTTCTTCTTCTTCTTTACGCACGCTCCGCACTCGTCCCCGCTCAGCCACGGCTCCTGCGCTACAAAAAACAAAAAGGCAAAAAGGCTCTCGGGGAAAATAAGAATGCACTTACTTTCTTGCTTCGTGTGTCCGTGTGCATCTCGGTGTGCAGGCAGGCGGAGGGTGGAGCGGCAGGCGGGGGTCGTCCAGGCGTTGGGTGTAGCTTTAAACGCGCCGTACCTTTCGGAAACGGGGGGCTAGTTTTCCACCTTTTGCAAGCAGCGGGTAAGATCTAACCCCGTGTCGATTTCCCCCGTCATCAATTCATATCGTCGTGATTCCTCGACTTAAACCGACGAAACGCGGCGCTCCAAAATAAAAAAAAAAACGCGCACACGGGCTGTTTCGTTAGCGGGTAGAGCTCTCTCTGTCTCTCTCTCTGCGTCGCGGTGTTTGTTGCCCGTGAATTCAGGGCTGGGCTGGCTCTAGCTGCCTTTTCCTCCTCCGCCTCTCCCCGCGCTGACCCCACCCTGTGTCTCCACCCCATCGGCGCTCGCTCCGCAGTGTGTGCAGAGAGGAGAGCGACGAAACGGGGCGTGACCGAGCGCGGGGCGGGGGGGGGGGAGAGCCAGAGCCAGCCCGGTCAGCTTACAGGAGCCACAGGGAGCCGCAAGAACCTCAGATATTGACAGGTTTTGCGCGTTTTTTCGGTGATTAAACCCTTGCATAAAAATCGTCCCAAAAGTCACCACCGCGCGTTTCGTTTCTCGCGGTGGTGCGTTCACGGGAGGGGTGGTGTGGGAAAAAAGAAAGCGCCCATGTCACCTTCCTGACGTCAGACGCGGGCTAATTGAGGACACCGGAGAGGAGAGGAGGGGGGCGCGCGGGGTTTGCAGGCAGAACATCACAGCGTTTTTGGGGACTTAAAGGGCCCAGATTGTACAGTTTTCTCATCGACGGAGGGTTAGAATCGTCATAGAATCGTTTTCACGTCGAAAACAGACCCGGGGTTGTCGGTTTACTCACAAATCCTGTGTATTTAGGCTGAGCTCCACTGTGTTTTTAAACTCCGCACACCTTCACTAGAATCATTTGGGTGATTTAAGTGCAGGGAATTGACAAGTTTCTCCTGAACTAAACTTAAAATGTTGCTGTTTTTGTTGTTGCCAAAAGAGGCATATTTGCAATTTTGTTGGCGTCTACCTAAAATATCAGAATAAATATCGTACCGTGAGGTGCATATCGTGAAAATATCGTATCGAGAGAACAGATAGAAGCCTATAAAACATACGACGTTATACATTTATTAGTGCAGAAAGTGAAGTTCGGTGTGAAAATTACACATTTACAATTATCGTCAAAAGTCTCAGAATAATATCGTGGACCATCACAATATATCGAAAGTTTATTTGATTAAATTCGTTGTTGTGATGCAGCAACAGCTAAAAAACAAACAGAACTACATAGACCATGATCCTTTGCTCCATGTCAGTCCAATCTACATGTTGAAATAACAGTTATTACTCACTTTTAAATCTTAATTATTTGGATGTTGACAAGACAAAAGTGGCATATTCACAGTTTTGTTAGTGTCTACATAAAATATCGGAATAAATATCGTACCGTGAGATGCATATCGTCAAAATATCGTACAGAGTTAGAGGCCTATAAAACATACAACATTATACATTTATTAGTGCAGAAAGTGAAGTTATAGGCATGAAAATTACACATTTACAATTATCGTCAGAAGTGTCACAATAATATCGTGGTCTGTCACAATATATCGAAAGTTTATTTGCTTAAATTCATTGTTATGGTGCAGCAACAGCTAAAAAACAAACAGAACTACATAGACCATGATCCTTTGCGCTGTTTCGGTCCAATCTACATGTTTAAATCTTAATTATTTGGATTATGACAAGACAAAAGTGGCATATTCACAGTTTTGTTAGTGTCTACATAAAATATCGCAATAAATATCGTACCGTGAGATGCATATCGTGAAAATATCGTACGGAGAGAACAGATAGAAGCCTGTAAAACATACAACATTATACATTTATTAGTGCAGAAAGTAAAGTTCGGCGTGAAAATTACACATTTACAATTATCGTCAAAAGTGTCACAATAATATCGTGGTCTGTCACAATATATCGAAAGTTTATTTGCTTAAATTCATTGTTGTGATGCAGCAATAGCTAAAAAACAAACAGAACTACATAGACCATGATCCTTTGCACTGTTTCGGTCCAATCTACATGTTGAAATACACTTTTAAACCTTGATTATTTGAATTTTGACAAGACAAAAGTGTCATATTCACAGTTTTGTTAGTGTCTACTTAAAATATCGGAATAAATATCGTACCGTGAGATGCATATCGTGAAAATATCGTATTGAGAGAACAGTTAGAGGCTTGTAAAACATACGACATTATACATTTATTAGTGCAGAAAGTGAAGTTTTAGGCATGAAAATTACACATTTACAATTATCGTCAGAAGTGTCACAATAATATCATGGTCTGTCACAATATATCGAAAGTTTATTTGCTTAAATTCATTGTTGTGATGCAGCAACAGCAAAAAAACAAACAGAACTACATAGACCATGATCCTTTACGCTGTTTTAGTCCAATCTACATGTTGAAATACACTTTTAAATCTTCATTATTTGGATTTTAACATGACAAAAGTGGCATATTCACACTTTTGTTAGTGTCTACTTAAAATATCGGAATACATATCGTACCGTGAGATGCATATCGTGAAAATATCGTATTGAGAGAACAGTTAAAGGCCTGTAAAACATACAACATTATACATTTATTAGTGCAGAAAGTAAAGTTCGGCGTGAAAATTACACATTTACAATTATCGTCAGAAGTGTCACAATAATATCGTGGTCTGTCACAATATATCGAAAGTTTATTTGCTTAAATTCATTGTTATGGTGCAGCAACAGCTAAAAAAACAAACAGAACTACATAGACCATGATCCTTTGCACTGTTTCGGTCCAATCTACATGTTTAAATCTTAATTATTTGGATTATGACAAGACAAAAGTGGCATATTCACAGTTTTGTTAGTGTCTACATAAAATATCGCAATAAATATCGTACCGTGAGATGCATATCGTGAAAATATCGTACGGAGAGAACAGATAGAAGCCTGTAAAACATACAACATTATACATTTATTAGTGCAGAAAGTAAAGTTCAGCGTGAAAATTACACATTTACAATTATCGTCAAAAGTGTCACAATAATATCGTGGTCTGTCACAATATATCGAAAGTTTATTTGCTTAAATTCATTGTTGTGATGCAGCAACAGCTAAAAAACAAACAGAACTACATAGACCATGATCCTTTGCGCCGTTTCGGTCCAATCTACATGTTGAAATACACTTTTAAACCTTAATTATTTGGATTTTGACAACACAAAAGTGGCATATTCACAGTTTTGTTAGTGTCTACTTAGTGTCTACTTTACAGTTAGAGGCCTGTAAAACATACAACATTATACATTTATTAGTGCAGAAAGTGAAGTTATAGGCATGAAAATTACACATTTACAATTATCGTCAGGAGTGTCACAATAATATCATGAACCATCACAATATATCGAAAGTTTATTTGCTTAAATTCATTGTTGTGATGCAGCAACAGCTAAAAAACAAAGGGAACTACATAGACCATGATCCTTTGCTCTGTTTCGGTCCAATCTACATGTTTAAATCACTTTTAAATTATTATTTGGATTATGACAAGACAAAAGTGCATATTCACAGTTTTGTTAGTGTCTACTTAAAATATCGCAATAAATATCGTACCGTGAGATGCATATCGTGAAAATATCGTATGAGAGAACAGATAGAAGCCTTGTAAAACATACAACATTATACATTTATTAGTGCAGAAAGTAAAGTTCAGCGTGAAAATTACACATTTACAATTATCGTCAAAAGTGTCACAATAATATCGTGGTCTGTCACAATATATCGAAAGTTTATTTGCTTAAATTCATTGTTGTGATGCAGCAACAGCTAAAAAAACAAACAGAACTACATAGACCATGATCCTTTGCACTGTTTCGGTCCAATCTACATGTTGAAATACACTTTTAAACCTTAATTATTTGGATTTTGACAACACAAAAGTGGCATATTCACAGTTTTGTTAGTGTCTACTTAGTGTCTACTTTACAGTTAGAGGCCTGTAAAACATACAACATTATACATTTATTAGTGCAGAAAGTGAAGTTTTAGGCATGAAAATTACACATTTACAATTATCGTCAGGAGTGTCACAATAATATCATGGTCTGTCACAATATATCGAAAGTTTATTTGCTTAAATTCATTGTTATGGTGCAGCAACAGCTAAAAAACAAACAGAACTACATAGACCATGATCCTTTGCGCTGTTTCGGTCCAATCTACATGTTTAAATCTTAATTATTTGGATTATGACAAGACAAAAGTGTCATATTCACAGTTTTGTTCAGTGTCTACATAAAAATATCGCAATAAATATCGTACCGTGAGATGCATATCGTGAAAATATCGTACCGAGAGAACAGATAGAAGCCTGTAAAACATACAACATTATACATTTATTAGTGCAGAAAGTAAAGTTTCAGCGTGAAAATTACACATTTACAATTATCGTCAAAAGTGTCACAATAATATCGTGGTCTGTCACAATATATCGAAAGTTTATTTGCTTAAATTCATTGTTGTGATGCAAGCAACAGCAAAAAAACAAACAGAACTACATAGACCATGATCCTTTGCACTGTTTCGGTCCAATCTACATGTTGAAATACACTTTTAAACCTTAATTATTTGGATTTTGACAACACAAAGTGGCATATTCACAGTTTTGTTAGTGTCTACTTAGTGTCTACTTTACAGTTAGAGGCCTGTAAAACATACAACATTATACATTTATTAGTGCAGAAAGTGAAGTTTTAGGCATGAAAATTACACATTTACAATTATCGTCAGGAGTGTCACAATAATATCATGAACCATCACAATATATCAAAAGTTTATTTGCTTAAATTCATTGTTGTGATGCAGCAACAGCTAAAAAACAAAGGGAACTACATAGACCATGATCCTTTGCTCCGTTTCGGTCCAATCTACATGCTGAAATAACGGTTATTACTCACTTTTAAATCTTGATTATTTGGATTATGACGAGACAAAAGTTGCTTATTCGCAATTTTGTTCACCTACGTAAAATATCAAAGACTTGAGATTTACTTTAGACTTAAGGTCAAAGACTTGAGATTTACTTGAGACTTAAAATTTAAGGTCAAATACTTGAGATTTACTTGAGACTTAAGGTCAGAGACTTGAAACTTAAGGTCAAAGACTTGAAACTTACTTGAGACTTGAAACTTAAGGTCAAAGACTTGAGATTTACTTTAGACTTAAGGTCAAAGACTTGAGATTTTCTTGAGACTTAAAACTTAA